CAAAAAGCACTACAAAACTAACTCGATAATTGATTTAATTTGGAGAAATAGTTGCAGAAGAAGCTGCAGCTTATTAGTGGCCGTGAAGGAAAGGGTCTTTTTATGTCACAGTCAAGCAACCAAAACTCCTCTCTATAGCCAAGAAACTTAATCCAAAAATGGTCATTTTATGGCATAAACATATCAGGACAAGTTGCATCAAATCACGTTTGAACGAATTTTCTAACTCACACAATTTCCAAGATAATGAAAAACAAAGTGTGTCAAAAAAGGTCACAGCATTACGCTTGAACAAAACCATTTACATAACTGCATATGATAGACAACAATAAAAGCTTTTAAAAAACACAACTATTTATAAAGACTATTTTACTTTGTTTGAATATCTTTACTTAAAATAGTCAGTTATTTTCATTTAGTCTGTTTGATAATGTGAAAAGAAATCGTAAATAAAATAGACTCCCTGTAAAAAAAAAGTCTAAGAATACAAAAGAATCAATAATTATCGAATAGATTTGTTTAAAAAACACGAAAATTATACTAAAACAAGAGCGTTTTTTAGCAATTTTATACTTTTTTCATTTTTATAGGGAATACAGGAAAATTCATCGAAATATAGGAGAAAAAATAGGCATTTTTTTAAATATAGGATGAATCCGAGGCCAGATTATAGCACTTTCTATTTTAGAGCAATGTCTATAAAAATCAAAAATGATCATTACATTACTCTCAGAATTTCAATACAAGTGTATCTATGTTGTTTAATTATGAAAGAAAGTCAAATATAAATTAATTAAAATTATTTTTTCTAAGATTTTGTGTTACATAATCCCACCCGACTTCGTAAGATGGCAAAAAAGTCGGATTTATCAGGTAAATTGATCTAATACGAATAAATTCTAAAATAGCTTTCTGTAAGCCAGGGGAAAAAATCTTGATGTCACGTAGTCCAAAGCGCACAATCGTAATCAGTATTATCCATTGTAGTGTGGGTATGCATGTGAATAAAGAGGTACCTACCAGAGCTCCGCGGGACGCTGGAATAATCCCGTCCCAGGACGGGACGGGACGGGACATCTTTTTGGTCATTCCGCGGAGCTCTGGTATCTATACCCTAACCTTATCATTTAGATGAACCTGTTGATCGGAAGAGTCAACTTTGAAAGCAAAAAAGCATAGCTTATAAGTTTAAATAATAGTTGAACTGCTTTTACTTCATTTGATTACATTAATTGTCGACTTTCTATTTGCTCTCTTTTATTCAAGCACTAAAATTTCTTGCACAATATTAATATACAGCTTAAATACTTTATCAATGGAAAAAAAGATATCTTTACATTTAATCATCATTCAGATCTGGATTTCAACTGAATATATTTATGCATACATTTTTATTGATCCATAGCAAATTAAAAAAATTCCGTTAAGAAAAACGAATCTTATTTTATATTTAGTTGATCATTTGAGATGATATGTGGACGACCATTTGAGAAACTAGAGAAATAAGAACAATTTTATAGATAACTTTTAGAAAGATAACATTGTTTTTTGTTCTAAAGCAGAGATTTTAACATATTAAATGTATTAACCCCCCCGCCCCCCGCCCCCAGAGAAGTTGCCCCATAGGAATTTTGTTTTTTAACCAGCAGAAATGGGCAAAATTTGGAAATGTTTGCTGGACCATAATAGAAGAC